AATTGAAGCAAATCACAAATTATCCATAAACAACATGATTAATTGAAAGCTTCTTCCTCCTTGTCAACTAAGCTTCTTCACTCTCCACTCCATAATATCAACTTCATTATACAAAATTAGAAAGAATAAATTAGACATGTCTCCACAAACATAAAGAAGATTAGTTACTAGAAATATTAAATATACTGGAAAAATTAATTAAATGAGTGTGGGCGGGTATCAATGGGGCGGGTATACCTAAACCCAAACCCAACCCAGTAAATAGTCTAACGAGTTTAAACCCGAATCCGGTCCAAAACCCGTCAACACGAATTTTACCCGCGTTTACCGGGTTTGGTCGGATAGAATACCCGTGAATTCGGGTTTTGTTTCCATGTGCAGCTTTTTGGTAAACGTAAGTGCATGAAAAAATACAGAAACCCATAAAAAGGAAAAGCGAAAGACAGAAAAGAACAAAGCCTTGCTTCTCCCTTCTCTTTCAACCTTCAAGAAAAGCCCAAACCTCCATCCCAATATAAATTCCTTCAACTTCAAGAAACAAAATTCTTGGCTGCCCTTTTGACTCATGTTCTTACACACTCTTTCTCCACCTTGTGTCTCAGCTTGTTTCTATATCTCGCCACATCAAAGGGAAGAAGGAGCAGTTGAAGAAAGATGGGAAGAAGTAATACATCATCATCCATAGTCTTGTTTGTGTGGCTTTTGTTGGTTGGCTCCTTGGAGTTGGAAACTAGTTCATTATCAGTTAGCATAATTCCTAGAGCAAGCGCCATGCCTGTGAAAGATCAGAAGCAGCTTGTACACAGCCCTGGATCAAATCTCAACTATAGGATGAGCAAGAGAGGAGTTCCAAATGGTCCAGATCCAATTCATAACAGGTAATGAACAGACTTGCCAGATCGAACTGTGTTACTGTCTAACCATGCATCTATGATAAAAACACAAAATTTTTGTGTCTTTATGTTGCATCATTCGTGTTCTCTCTATTTGTTCATAATGTTCTTCTGTTACTTGCTTGCATAAATAGTCCAAACGGCGATATGAGATTCATTATCGAACATGACGATGGTAGACAATATTTTGTGCTTATCATTACCCAATTTTAATTGGTTGATTAGTTGAATAATTAGTACTAGTGTTGTGATTTCTTTTTTCCTTTCTAGTTGATAGATATTAGATGGTAATTGTAGAAAATTGTAGAAATTCCATTTGGGAAGATATCTGCTACTCTGTTGGAATGGAAGCCCCCACTCCAAAGCTTTAGAAGTACTAAAGGAAGGGTGATTTAAATAAATCAAAAGAAATGTATAGTTTAGTGTCTTGTCACTTTATTCGATTCGTCGCCCTTAAACATGTTTATTCAAAGCTAATTAACGTTTTTATTATAAAAAAAAAAGAAATAGTTCTTCTTACATACCCTTTATGAGGGCTGCCCTTTAACCTTGCCTTTTCCATGCCCCAACTTTTACTTTTCTCTTCTTCTAGCAATGCACTCACAAAAATAATTCTTAACATATTGAATTTTGGATCTTGAATTTTAATCTATGAGTATTAGTCTAATAGGAAAATATAACATAGGATAGCAACTAATCCATACATAACCCTAAACTCTCAATCTTAAATTCTAAATACTAAACCCTAAATTCTAAATCCTAAGTTCTAACCCTAAATTCCTAAACACTAAATGCTTCAAATCAAAATAAATATTGTTTTTTTTCTATTTTCTTGCAAATTCATACCTTTTCTAGTCCATCATATCACAAGTAAAGATTGTAAGAGATTTGATATAAATCACCTACTCAAAATGACTATTATGAGGTGAATGCATAGCATCCACTCAAAAAGTGAGTGCTAATTAGAGAATTAGTGATTGGGCTTCTTCACCCATTTGAAAAATATGTTATAGTATCATATATATATACACTTCGAATTCCAATTAATTTTGTAGTTTAAATAGCGAAACTGATCACTAGACGTACACTAGCCTGATCCATATATTTTTCTGTATGTTCTTAATTAGTAGACGTCAAACAATCATCTTCATGGCCAGTGCCCTTTGTTGGCGCTTAACATTCTTCACACAGCCTAGTTCTGAATTGTCTCTTTTATGTATAGTTTCCATGACTGCTGCTATTCAATTGTACATATACTATAGATTTCCTGCTAAAAAAAACTATCATTTAATCCAAATATTGAACTTATTTGGTCATTCAGGAGAGCTGGGAACTCTAAATGGCCACCTGGGCGAGCTTAGAAGTTATGAATGAAGAGAAGCTATTTAGCCAAATGCATGCCAAATTAGAAAAAGGAAGCTCACAGGAAGGAAGGCTGTCAATGCATGCATGTATCTTGTGAATGCATGTAATATTCTTTATTTTGATCAATGGCGTAACATTAATCGATAACAAGGTGGTTTCATTTCATTTATATATCAAAGAAAAAAAAAACAAGAATATTTTCACATATCGTATCAACAGAAATCATCTCCAAAGAAAAACCAGAGCTTGCAAAACTGTACCGGCAACTCGACCGGGAAAACCAACTACTTGAGTATCAATCGGTTGCCATTTTTCAGCGGTATGAAACGGTTGAACCGCGATTAAATTATAATTTCAGCGTAAGAAATTTTATAGCTGACTTTTTCGGTACAACCTTCGATACTGTTTTACAATCATTGAGAGGAAAACCCTAAAAAAGAAGGACGATGAAGAATAAAAGAATCAAACTCGAGAAGAAGGGATGAATAAGGAACATGGAATCCATCCCCTTATTTATAGTTTATGCAGGGGATTAGTGATGGAGGTTTGTGTTGTACAAGAAGAAGGGTCACAGTGCTCTTAATAATTGATTTGCAATTATAATGAGTATTCATATGTTTATAATAGATGAGAAATGTTTGCTCGAAGGTCCCTTCAATCTTTAAAATATAGGTATAGTTCTGAAAATTTTCCTAATTTTTTTTTCTTAGTCTCTGTTCACTCTAAGTTCCAACTTCTTATTTTGTAATTGCATCTCACTCTAAATTCTGACCGACTTCTTATTTTGTAGTCGTCGCTTACTCTAAATTCAGACGGTGTCATTATAGAGGATTTAGGAAGGTATATATAGGGAGGAAGAAATGACAAACTCCCAAATCTCTATATCAATCAATGCAAAAGAATTCCACAGAGTTTTATCATATCTCTGGAAAGTTAGCATATATGAATTGAGTTTCCAAAGAACTAAAGTGAAGTGGCCACTACCAAAGAGTTAAAAAAAAGAAGCCTTAAAGGTGGGTGTGTTTGTTCATGCTCTTGTTTTAGTGTGTTGGGTGTTGGTCTTTTTCTCAAGATTCTTTTGTTGGGTTTTGCCTGTTGTTTTGATCTTTTGGACCATTCAAACTTGTTTTTTAACAGAAGGAACAGATTTTTACCTGATAAGTATGGTATGAGAGAGATTCTTCATGTGCTAGCTCTTGTGGCAATCAAAATGTTCTCCATGAGCTTTAGTTTGTGCTTCTTCTTTTTTCTCCTTTCCCCTCTTCCTTTTCTTTTTGTGTTTCATTGTTTTAATTGGATTTGAGATTCAACTCGGTTGCTTGAAAGCAGCCTGTGCCAGAAAGCCTTTGAATAGAAATAGAACTAGATTGGGTACTTTGTTTTTCGTTTACCAAAAATCATGGAAAAATGACAACTATTAGTCATTATTTTCGTAAAAATGATGAGTACCTTGACACATATATATATGTTCAAACATACTTCAGTTCTTCCATAAATACTAAAATAAATCGAGGCGAGCAAAGTGATTCGGACTAAAAGTGTGTGGAATAAAAAACTGACAATCAAATCAAGAAACACATATGTCAACCTCCGAACCTTGCTATTTGATGTGGTCGGTGTGTGGAATGGATACTTACACAATTTAGTTTTTTTTTTTCTAAATTTGTTGTGATCGGGGATAATCTACCGTTAAGATCACTGAAATTTTTCTATTTTACCATGTTTGTCACCTAGAAATATATAGTTGGGGAACATTAGATATGTTAGGGTTATACGTGTAATAAGTATCCTTATGTGGCATTCAAAAAGGTGCATGACATCAAGGGTGTGATAACATGGCGCCCAAAAGTGTATCCAATTGCTGATTACGGTGTCCAAAAGTTCAATCTTCGAAGGCGTCAACAACTAGATTTTCAGTAACTTCTGTTCAACTTTGGAGCGATTCATTCTCCAATATTGCTTCCGGTATTTGCATCTCCGTCCGCTCTAAAATTCATCATCGACCATCTATCTTTGCTTTTGAAGAGTTATATCGTACTGAATAGCTTAAGAAGATAAAATTTTCCACAATTGCACCTCGTGCTGAACCCTTAAGTTGATGTGGTTCACTATAAGTAGTTAAACACAATAAAATTAGTTATATGCCCACTATCATCTCAAATATTCATACTAAACTTAGGTTTAGAGTAATGAATGCAAACATTATAAAGCACTTCTTTAAAACAAATTGTACACATTGTTCGACTAAAGAGATAGATTCATTTCACTCACTTTTCATTGAAAATGGTAAAAAAATTCACAAATATATGTCAATGTTCCTATTTTGAATGTAGTTTTACTTTAGTGTGTCTCTCTCCTTTGAATTGGGTCTTTTATGATAGCTGTGATGGTGAGAGCTATAGGATAATCACTGCAATGTCGTGGATCATATTTAAGATATGTCGCTTGAACACTAAATATAAACCAACACATTTATTAGTTAAGTGCTTGTGATAAATCTCCAAAATGCCCTTTCACGCTCAAAATTCAAATCATATAATTTCAATGTAGAATTCGTGCCATGATAAACCAAGCAGATAAAAATTGGAAGAAAAAAATTCATGATACATTGAACTCCGTCAAAGGACAATCATTTTCTTTTACACTGAAAATTGGTTATGTATGTATCATAAGAAGTAATTTGCATGTTGTCATTTATTGACTTTTTATATAGACAAAGACTTTGTTTGTAAACATATATGTCATTATTAGTTTCATTTCTTTGTTAGTCATTTTGTCTCTCATGTTTTCAGTAGTTCTAAGCATATGATGAGTAGTTTGAGTATTTGTTAGATAGTTGATTTCCCAATATCAAAACAAAACAAAACAAAACAAATGTGAATGACGCATCTATAAAATTTATGGTAAATGTCAAGTTTGGTCACTGGGTTTTAGGGCTGCTAAACGGTACGATAGCCGGTTTACCGTTTACCGTTTCACCGGTTTCGGTAATACCGGAAATGGCAAACCACCCGCCGGATGCCGCTACCGTTTTCCACCCGGTATACCGCCTACCGTTTCGGTACGGTATCGGTAAGGGAACGAGAGTCCCGAATTACCGACAGAAAGTGACCTGCCTCTTCCCTTTCGCTGCTGAGTGCTGTCAATCCCTTATCCCTCTGTCCCTGTCTCCCTGTCGGCTGTTACATACCCCATTTGCTTCACCTTCACGACTTCACCCAACCCCAACCACGTCCATTCCTCAATTTCATCAATCTTCACCATTCACACCAACGTCCAACGCCACATGCCATCATTTCCAGTCCACAATGTCATGACTTGTGCTGATGGTTAGTTGGCTGCATTCACTCTCTCCCCAGATTCCCCGCCGGCATCCAGACCCACCCACACTACCACTATCACCATTGCCCATAGGTAAACACTAAAACAACAACTACAAATAAACTCATGAGAATGAATAGTAAACAGGAAATGCTGGCGGCGGTGTACGAGCGGTGGACGTGGCCTTGGAAGGGGGACGTGGTCGTGGCAGAGTGTGACGTCAAGGAGGTGGCGTTCCGGCCGCGTGTGACGAAATTGGAGCTGGGTCCGGCGAGCTGCCGCTCCGACGGGCGGTGGCGGCGGTTGGAGGTGAAGTGCCGGACCATATTCTGGAATTATGTCTACGTTGCGGGAATGTGTCTTGCGATTTTGGCGTTCTCTCTTTAGGCGGTTGAGTTTTAATTATCTCTCTTTTGGGGTTGCCTTGCATGGCAGCTGGGCCGCGGCGCGTGATGTTTTTTTATTTCTACTCGGTGTCGGATTACCGAGCCGCCGACGGTAAACTACTCATTCGATCCCGGCATACCGCCATCACAATTTCCCCAGCCGACTACCGTTAAGTTCGGTTACCGGTACGGTTACCGGTTAAACCGACGACCGGAAAACCGTTTAGCAGCCCTACTGGGTTTACTAAAATGTGTCACGTTTAGTCATTCAAAAAAATTAATATCAATTTTGGCACTCGAATTAGTAAAACGGTACACGTTTAGTAACTCTGCGTTAACTTTAACTGATGTGGCAATCAATCCTAACAGTTGACCATTAACTGTTTGACGGGCAATTAAAAATTAATAAAAATAAATTTAATTCTTTTAATATTTCCACATCACTAAATTAATAAAAAAATAAAACTATTAAATCCCTTCCCATCCGACCAAATTCGTCTTCCAATCAACCTCCTTATCTCAATCGAGATTGGTGCTGAAATTGGAGGCAGATTGATGATTGTCCTTCCCTTTACTTTCGTCGGATAAGTTAACCCTGTACCCCCTAACAATTCAGAAAGACCACTCCGCATCCCCAGCTCTTTCTTCTCTTATGGTCTCATTCAGAAAATAAAACGATAACACCAAATTCATCACTAAATAAGAATCTTTAGCTTCCAAAATGTTAGGAGGAATCAAAGAGAAATATGCATAAATCACTGGAGCACAAAATCTATCAGATTGGATTATTAAAGATTATACATTCGCCCAAGCGATAACACCAAATTCAGTAGATGACTCTAGTGGAGCCGACGAGCCCAATCTGTGTGTATATATGCCAACTCTTTTGGTTCATCGAAAATATATCTCCTTGGACACTTACTCACAGCTTCATCAGTCAAGGTGTTGTATTTCCTGACAACTTCACGAGCATTCTTCTCATCATCATCATCGTCAAAACGACAAAATTGTGTTGTTGCACCCTCCTCCTTGGCTTCAACTCTGTTTATATAATCTATCAGTACTTCACTCTCAAATTCTCTATACAGCTCAAGCTCTTCCTCATAATCAATCTCCGAATAGCGCCTTAACTTCCTCATCAGCTTCCCCTTGACATACTCTTCCTCGATGAACTCTGAAGGGACTAACAATCTGACCTTCTCCGCCAGTTTGTCCTTGACATCATCTGTGTATTATTCAATATGCAAATAAAGGAAACAATAATAGCATCAGAGTGACTAAAGATTACAAAATCAAAAGATTACAAAATCAAAAGACTCGTTTGGTATCATTTTTTTTCCTGTTGTGGTGCAATACAGTTGTAACAACAAACCTACAATCACAACACCATGAAAATGAAAACCGAAAACATTTGTAGTCCATAATTCTAGAAAAAAAAACATGAAGTTGAAAATTTTATATGTTTATTTGCTTTTTAGGTCCTGTTTCGTATCAATGTTGAGAGTAAGACAAAAGTATAAAATAATGGGAGGAATTATGTATCATGGCAAATTATGGAAAAAAAAAATGAGAAATAAAAACAGATGAAAAAATAATGTTGACAATAAGGTTTCCATGATGAGTCATGTAAAAATGGAGGGAGAAATAATATTTAGAAAGTGGTTGGATCTAATGAGATTCATTTGTAGACTCATTTGAGTGACATTATTACAGTAACTAAGGAACAGTTTTGGAAACAACAATGAAACAACTTATTATTGTTTCACTTTTTTTCAACTAATTTATGTTGTGTTGCCAACTTTTGTTTCTACAGGATCATATGAAAACATAACTAAACATGTTTTTGGGTTAATATATTTGTATGACCTGAACTTTGATCAAAATAAACATCCAGGCTGATTTTTTCGATCTAAACAGGTTCTTGGGTTGGAAAACTTGCCTGGAAGAATGAGGTTGGCATAGTTGTCGAAGTATTCGGCTCTGGTTGTTGTATATGTCACTTGAGCTGCTCTGCACATCACATCTGGATACGCGGTCACCATGTGATCATGCTTCCCTGACAGTCTCATCTTCAGAAGCTTTTTCCTGATCGCAGGAAGCAAATGCTTTTTGCCTTTGATGTATTCCCTCAACAAGTTCTGCAACTCTATAATCCAATCTACACAATCCAAAACCCCAGGCTTCATTATCCCAGAATCCATCAAGAAGCAAAAGGAAAAACAGAGAGAATAACCTGTTGATTTTACCTCCCCTGAGGATTATCGCTTCTTTCTCTACATAGACACCCTGAATCTCCTCCGGCAACTCCTTATTATTGGTTTCAGCCCTGAACTTGAGAATCGATTCCATTATCAAATCGGGGAGCGCCTCCTTCCCTACGCGGCCCTTGTAGTAGCTGTTCATCAAATTCTTGAACCCTAGAAACCAATCTAAGCTCCCCCGGTTCCCAAAAAACCAGAATTAAGAAAGAAAATCTGCGATTAGTAAGATAAATTCGTCTCAAAATCAATCTGCTTCGACGAATCATGTATTTTTTCTTTTACCTAGGTGTTGCTCCGTACCGACCTCGACCTTGAGCTGCTCCAGCGCACATAACTCCTCCGCCGGGTACGGCCTAGCGGAAGCTGCAGCAGCCGGCGACGACGGATGTACGACTGAGCACGGAGGATTAGAGCCTGCAATGTTGCGAGACGAAAGGAGGAGGAGCGGACGCCAAGCTACCAAGTTTCTCGACAGCGGAGATGGCCGCGGCGGCAGCAGCATCATCTTCTCGATTCCCGGATCCGGATCGGCTAGAGTGTACGGCACGACAACAGAGGGTTACCGAATGTTTATAAGGGTCTATATACTTTACACTACAAAGGGTTACCGAAAAGAAAATAATATAAACTAAAAATTTCTATTTTTTAGGCCTTTTTACTTGCATATATAAATGTAAATTTGCAAATATGCAATTGGTAGCCACATCAATGTAATTGGCTTTGCAATTGCAAACACTCATGTCATGTCATCTTGTAATTGAGAATGCAATACTAATGTGGATGCTCTTATATGTCAGACATGAATTTTAGAATGTACGGCAGTTTTTTTTATTCGGGATTTGGGATTTTCATCGTAGATCTGAAGAATTTGATGCGCTGGATGGAACGCCATCGGTCTATTCCTTTCGATGCAAGTTATTATTATGAGGAGATGTTCGAAGAAGAGGAAGCGGAATCGCAATGGGATAGGGTTCCGGTTCTTGAATCAGAGCTGGAGCCATTTCTTAAAGGTGAGAAAAATAACCAATCGACCACCATCAATTAGCTAATATATGACGACAACTGTTGCTTAAGTTAGTCAGAAAAATGTCCGAAATTGGATCTTAAATCACTCCGATTTCGAAATTGATTCCTTTTGATCTTGTTTTGGATGAGTAGATTCGATTCTCGAGTTTGGTAAGTACAACAAAGTTGAAGCGGAGTTGCTTCCTTCGATCCAGAAATTGCTGATGAAGATGATGTTGTCAGGGGAGTACGACGACTTGGTGCTGGTGAAGAATAAGGAGACCGGGATCATTGTAATGACAAAGAGATGGAAGTTCTTTCGAAAATATGCCTACTTTCTTCCTGGTGTGGTTGGTTTCCCTCCATTGATTTCCATTCTTTGGTTTAAGTCAATCAAGTTTGATGTAGCTATTTCTAATGTTTGTAGGTGGTTACAATGTCTAATATCTCAACCCCCATCATTCTTAGATTTCATACCACATATTTTTCTTATTTATTTTGTTTTATTTGTTAATTCTTGGGTAGTAAATCTCAAAATTAACCTTCATTATTTCAACAATAATGGCCCAACCTCGTTTTGATTGATTATTATTTTTGGATTTTGTTGCATTTAGGGGTGTAAGTTTGAACCCCAAAACCCACTGACTCGCCTCGACCCTCAGGGTCGGGCTGGCTCAGTTTGTCTAAAGGGTCAGCTTAGGGGTCGGGTTAATTTAGGATCAGGTCACTTTTTGACCCTATGACCCCTTAGCATCATACAAACGCCGGTGGACCTATTTGTAAAATTTTAAAATTTTAGGTACTAAATTGTAAAAAAAATAGTTTTGGGTACCAAAACGTAATTTTACCATCAAATTTAGGGTTGGTTCAGTTTTGCATCTTGACTCTTAAGAGGCGGGTCAGACAGGGCCAGGACACGTCAGTGGCGGGTCGGACCAATATTCAGCCCTAGTTGCATTTTAATAATTTTCAGATGAACTTACGGAAAACTTGGTGAGGATGGACAAGGAGTTGCACAAAATGGTTGAATATAAGGATCTTCGCAACGAAGTTGAGATCCTTCGACTGCTTACTGATCATTGGAAGAAAGCACTGAGGAATTATTCAAAGCGATTGGAAGCTGATGAAGAGGAGCCCAAACCAGAATTTGATGGTGAGGAATGAGAATACTCTTGTGAGACAGTTTGATGATGAGAACACTCTCTAATGCTATAAGATGAGGATATATACAAAGTGCCTATTTCGGTGATGATATCTTATGTGATCTAAACCCTTTTTGCAGTTGTCCCACCTTCTGCTAAACAGTACTTGTCCGACGATGCTTCATATGTCCTACCTTCAGCTAGACCTTATATGTCCGACGACGCTTTGTATGCGTTGTTGCAGCTCGAGCTTTGCTATGAAATTCCGGAATATGAAGGTAAATGGAAAACTCTTTGTTTTTTTTTATAGTTCAATTCGAATTCATTTAGGTCAAGGTTTGCCCAAACAAGACTGCATTTCTCCGTCCTCTTCCTTCGAGTCAGTCTTGTGTCTTTTTGCTCCTTGGAACGTCAACAGAGCTGCCCATCTCGTGGCAAAACAAGTTTTTTTTTTTAATTCTGTGGTTGAGGTGGATTTTAGCTTGGCATTCGGAGTTCATGGAATTGATGGACAAGTACTTGAAGGGCCGCATATCGAGGGATGTGCTTCCTGACTTGATCACAGAATCCATTCTCAAGTTCAATTTGGAAGAGATCAATAACAAGTGGAAGCATCTTTAGGGTGATATCTATGCAGAGAAAGAAGTGAGAGTGCTCATGAGAGGTAAAAAAAAAACACTAAAATTGACAGCTTAGTTTTATTCTTTTTTTTCATTTAATTAAATTTGGGTTTAGGTTGGCTTTCGGAGGTGGAAAGATTGAATAAGAAGTATTGGGAAGGCACAGAGGACGTGCTTCTGGCTTTCCGTAAAAAACTTGTGGAAATGAGATTGTCTGGGAAACCTGATGACATCGTGGCTTGCCCATCGTTACGTTGGCGCCGACCTTATGATTGGATGTTAATGGGATCCAGAGCCAATTACTTCGACGGCTATGCAGCAATTCTTCCTCGTAGGTGTCTCGTTCCCGACCCTTTAATTTCCATTGCAGTAAATGCTTATGCTATTATGCTTCTTAATTATTGAATTTACGTTCTTTTCTAGTTTGAACTAATACAAACGAAATTAGTTATGCTTTTTGAAAAAGAATTAGATTTTTTAAGGGCGATATAGTTTTTTTAAGATAGTTTTTGGTAGAAGCGCTAATTTATGTTACTAAAAGCAAAGTTCTAGAAGGCGCTATGCGTTAAGGCTGGCGTTAAGACCTTGTCTAGAACCTAGCTCTCTTAGGCATTGGAAGAAATATAGCTATTTGCTATGCATGATATATGTAATGATAATTTACAACACTTCCTCACTTCAGTTAAAATGATTAATAATTTACTGAAAACTTAACGGATAGAAAATAACTCAAAATTTCATAGATTCGTAGCTCAATAGCTCACAATGTGCTTGAGCTATTAAATTTGTTGGCATAGAAAATTTATTTTATAATTGATGCTAATTTCCTTCTTTAATATTGATTGTCTAACTCCATCTAATTATGCTTAGGAGATACTTAGGTGTCGTCTTATTCCGTTAACGTGTTCCCGGTATCTATTTAGACGCGGAACCTATTGCGAAACGTTTTGGCATTGCCTAAAGTCTAAGACTAACTTCAACCCGTAAAGTTAAATTTGGCTTCCCAAATAGCCAAATATGGCTTTTTAGCTCACCAAATCCCATTTTCACTCCAACCCTACACAAAGCTAAATTTCGCTTCCCATCTCCCTTTTTTCAATTTATTACAATAAACCATACTTATTTGACCTCTAATTTTCATATTTCACTTTAATTATGCTATAGTTAGTTATTACTTTTGAAAAAAAAAATTTGATGTAATTTTTTTTAAATTCAGAGACAAAAAATATTTCAGAAAATTAGTCATTATTTTATTACCGTTAACTTCGGGACCAATGAGAAAATACCAATTAAACATACAACAATTCATATCTTCTTTCAAACAATTAAACAAACAACATACACAATCAACCAATGACAAAATACCACACAAAAAAAGAAAAAGGAAAACAACACAATCAACCAATGAGAAAATTCCACAGAAACAAATAAAAAATAAAGGAGGACCCGCCGCGGGTCCACCATTTTCTCTAGCCAAATTTGGTTTTTCCACTCTTTTGGGAGCTAAATTTGGCTCCCAATTCAACAGTACCCATTTTTAGCTCCCCAAAATAATATGGGTTAGAGCACAAAAAAAGAACTAAAAATGGGTAAATGGCTTTTTAGCTCTAGGGTTGGAGTCAGTCTAAGATGAGATTTTTGCTGATTTCTAGATGGTGTTAAAGAAAAGTTGTTGAGGAATCTCAGATCGTTCAGGGATGTCTCTTGGGAGCTTGACGAGCAAGCGTACGAACAATATAGAGATTTTGAGAGTGGAATACTGATGGATTATTTAGAGAAATTGAAAGTCGAGCATGGTACACCAAAAAAGCAGTGTCATATGGATTATGATGATGATGAGAAGAACACCCAAGAAATGGCGGTGAAATACAAATACTTTGAATTGTGAAGCTGCGAGGGAATACAAAGTCACGTTGAAGAAGCTGACTAATTGGGTGGTACTGTGAAAATAATGATTATGGATAATCAACACAATGCATATTTGAGTGTTGCATCTTATTTTATATGGGTAAAATACCTCGAGTGTCACTTAAGTTTGAGAATTGGGGTAGACATACCACATAAATTTGAATAGGGCGTCGGGTACCATTAAAGTCACCAAAATGTGCATCCGTCTACTTTTCCATCCAAACCAAAATTTTAATTACTTTTTAGTACCCGAAACTTTTAAAAACATCCAAAACTATATTTAACAAGTTTTATCTAATATAATAATTAGAAAACCTTCTAAACATATTATTGCTAGAAATGATTAATATTTTTAATAAAATAGATAAATTAGTAAATATAGTAAATTAATATCAAGAATAATAATAAATATACTAGAATATAATAATAAATATTTAAAATTAATATTAGAACATCTATTTAAACCTCCTAATTCAATTAGAAGCACCATTAGAAATAATTAAAATAGAACCTAATCGATTATCAATATATCAAAATCAAAGAAGGATAACTAGAACACAATAAGAAAGAATTAAACATATTCCTCTAATTGAAAAAAATTAGAACGAAAAGAAATGGAAAGTAACCAAGTAACAAATAAAACATAAAAGCTACAACATTCGGTAAAAAATATAGAAAAGAAAATATGACTATATAAGCTACAACATTTTTTAGTTATAACATGCATGGAATAATTAAATTATTAGAACACATTATGATAATTAAAAATAATTATAATGATAATTGATTCTAAATTTTCTTGATTTGGTATCAAATATTCAAAAGAGGATTCTAACTAACCAATGAAAAATGATATTTTTCATAAGTCCAAATTATTTTCTTACAATAAAAAATGTAGAAGGACCAATTATGAAATTTAGAAAACAGAATATTCCAAGAATATTCTGTCAACTTTAACGGAATGCACTTAGGAGTAAACTTAAGTGGTACCGGGTGCAAATATAATAGAGTTCACTGGTACCCGACGCCCTATTCAAACTTAAGTGGTATGACTATCCCAATTCTCAAACTTAAGTGGCACGCGAGGTATTTTACCCTATTTTATATCACACTTTTGAACTTGTCCTTAATGTCGTTGTTATCACCCTTTTTGTGCTAGTCAATTGCATGTGAGCAGCAACACCAATTATTTCTTTTCGAAAACGGGTAAATGTCACATTTGGTCATTGGGATTGCTAAATTGTGTTATGTTTAGTCAATAGGAAAAATTAATATAAATTTTGGTCACTCAAAATACTAAAACAGGTCACATTTAGTCATTCTCCCGTTAGTCTCCGTCCAACTCCGGTCATTCGATTTAATTTTTTTTTATGAATGTCACTCGAATTACTGAAACATGTCACATTTAGTCACTCTTCGTTAGCATCCGCCCAACTCATTTAATCACAAGGAAGCTGCCAGAAAAAACAACATTCGTAGCAACTTCGAGTCTTTTGTTTGAAGCCTTCCAGATATCCAATATTTCATCCAATGCCTTCTTTTGTAGACAAACATATCTACTTTCACGTGGTAGAGGCCCGTGGACTAGAATCTCATCCATGCTTTTCAAATTGAGCTCCAAAGTAGGCTTCACAAACACGTTACCGGACTTAGCAATTTTCAAACAGTTTCCCAGTTTTGGCATAGCCTTTTGAATTTGATCAGGTTCAAAAATGGTCTTCGGGACTTCCTATCAATCTCCCAAGTACTTCAATGTGTAGAGGGACACTCTAGTTTCAAAACAAGCCATTAATCTTCAATTTCTATCGAGCCAATTGTAAGATATGAATCTCCAAAGTAGGCACCATGAAACTGTTTTTACACTGAATCAACATATTAGGTCGACCTAATCCTAACTTAGGTCGACCGAAAAGTGCAAGTTACGGTGACTTGCAAGTTACCAGCGAATTCAGTTTTTAAGTGTATTGGTTCCCCGAGGAGTGCAATTGTGAACACATGTTGATTTGACTCTATTTTCCTTCTCCAACTGTATCTTAACACAATCCAAAAGGTTCATGCATGACATGGAATGGAACAGTATAGTTGTACCACTCTATTTCCTTTTCTGGTAGTTCTCTGATAGACCTGACTGTATAGGCTGCGGCAATTGTGTTTGGTGTTTTAGACTCACAGCAAACAAGTGGGATCATTGCCTAAATTTGTTAATGTTCGATCCCCTTCATGTTGCAAAGTACAGGTTGAAAGATTTATCAGATGTGCATGCTCTTATAATACATGCATACAACTCAGAAAAGGTTGAATCTCGGGTGGATCACTTCTTCCGATTGCAACTGTGTCTTTGTGTATGGTAGATAGGTGCTGGTGCTTTGTCATTGAAATTGAGATTGCTCTCATTTCTTAATTTTTTTGCTGCTGCTGCTTCTTGTTTCGTTTTGTGCTGGTTGTTTAGCAATTGTGTCTTTGGGAGTGGAGCGGAATGTTGGACTGGCGAAAGCTGTAGTTCTCTCCATTTTCTTTGTCCTGGTTAAATTTTTTCAAGTTATTTAGCTTGACAAAATGAAAATGACCTTTTGTTATAAACGCGCTACTACGGATCGGGAAATCGCTGGAATCGACAAAGCAAGAATACAAAAGCGAGAATCGAAAAACACAGACACACGATTTACGTGGTTCACTAACACTATGTGTGTTAGCTACGTCCACGGGCGAGAGAGAGCCAATTTCACTATATCGAGGAGATTACAGATTACAGAGGAGTATGAGAAGTATTTATAGTACTTCTCTATGTGGGTCTAAACCTAATCCAATCTGGCAAAGGAAACGGTTACAGACCAGGCCCAGAACCCAAACCCAAATAACAAATTACAGCGAGACCCCCGATTATCAGTCGTAACGGCTGATAGTCCGATTCAAGTCACATCAATACCTTTCATGAGAAATCGTGAGATATGTGTGGGTTGGGGGACTTGGTGGACGGAGTAAGAGAGGAAAGTGGGATGGATTATACTATTGGGAAGTGAATACAGTTCTAAATCCAACCAAACACTGTGCCTCCCAGAAAAGAACGTGTAAAGCTTAAAGGATTATCCACTCTGGTGGGTTGATTCCCAAGCTATGAAAAAGAACGGTACATTATCCTTTGGATTTTCACTTACTAGTTTTTTCATTGCTATTATATGAACATCTCTCCCTTTAAGCCAACTACGGCTTCATATGTAAGGGTGTTCAAACGGTTTGGTTACCGTGGTAACCGTTTTAACCGGTACTATTTGGATAATTTGGTTTGGTTAATTTAGATAATTGGTTTGGTTTGGTTAAAGTTTTTAGCTTGTTTGGTTTAGGTGGTTTGGTTTCAAACACTCCTAACCAGTCAAACCAAATTAACCAGTTAAGTAATTAGTCATATATCTAACATATATTATATGGCTAAATTGCAAGTTTGGTCACTTGAATTACTAGTAAATTTTACGTTAGCCACTAGAATTACTTTATTCTATTCATAGTCACTTAAATTAGGTTAACATTCCAAGTTTGGTCACTGGCCGTTAGTCTCCGTTAACTTTTGCTGATGTGGCGGTCAACTCTCATAGTTGACCATTAAATAGGTGACGTGGCCATTAAAAATAAATAAATAATAAAATTTAATATTCTTTAAATTTCCACCTCATTACCCATCCCTTTCAAAAATTAAAAAGATAAAGCTATTTTCTTTTAAACCATCGCCACCGTTGCAAGCAGAAGTTGGTGCTCCGAGGCAGAGAGCTCTACGGAAGCGCCGATCTAGCCGAAGACCATGGAATCACCAGCGACAAAATTCTCTACTTGGTCCTCAAGCTCTCCGACCTCCTCCTCGTCACCGTCCGCACTACCTGCGGCTAGGAAATCGAGTTCCACGTTGACGGGTACCGAAACGTCGGATACCTAAAACATCGGATCTTCCGAGAGGGAAACGACTTCCCACGTCAACGAGCAGGAGGCAAAGAGACAATAGTGAGAGGCAAGTCGGACGCTTCGACCATCTCATCGCCGGAATCCGATTCCCTCAACAAATGGGCCCAACGCACCCGCTTCCGCATTAACGACTCCCTCTGTTCGTTCTTTTTTCCCACAACTTCCTAATTGACTACCGTAACACTCTGTTTCTTAACTAATTCACTCTCGTGAGGGGCAAAGGCACGTCGGCAACGAGGATGGGGAAGATGTTTATGGGTTGGACGGTGCAGAGCACTCTGTAGCTCATGGGATTTAAAGCTCGCCATGCTTTCGAGGTTAAAACTCCGACCTTCCCCATCTCTGTTTTGGAATTTTCCTCTTCCGTTTTTTTTTTTCCAAATTCAAGATTCGGTTGCGGTTTTAGGACACCGACGATTGCATTCCGGCTTCCTTGCATGATGATTTTCCGGGCATTACTGTTTACTTTTTGATTCCGGAGTAGGACTGGGAATCAGGACTCTTAGATTCGGACTGTAACTTGTTTCTTTTCAGAAACGTTCTTGGCGTTTAAGTTTATGAAAGGGAAGTGTGAAGGGGATTAATGCTTTGAATCTTAACAACTTCGATTGATTTAAGGCCAAGCCAGGTAAATGATGCATTTGTCCCACCATTGCTGATTCTCACGGAATCGTCGGTCTTGTTCTGGTAGCGTCGTGGCGGAGTTGCACCAGCAGAACAGTGGCAGGGTCGGGATCTGGAGAGAAAAATGAAGGAGGAAATAATTATTTGTTTTATTAATTTTAAATTTAATGTGATAATAAGGTAGAATTTTTAATAGATTAATTTTTTATTTTATTTTTTTAATGGCCACGTCACCTATTTAACGGTCAACTATGAGAGTTGACCGCCACATTAGCAAAAGTTAACGGAGACTAACGGTCAGTGACCAAACTTGGACTCTTAACCTAATTTAAGTGACTACGGATGGAATAAAGTAATTCTAGTGGCTAATGTGAAATTTACTAGTAATTCAAGTGACCAAACTTGCAATTTAGCCTATATTATATACACATACTTAATACTTTGCATAACCACTCAATAGTTAACGTTCATCCCTTTTAGACTCATAAAATATAAAGCTCAATATTGCTCATATAGTGTATATTTGTATATGTAAAGTGTAGACCACAACATATAGATGCCTAATTTAGATAAATTTCATACATTATGATGGATGAAAACTTGAAAGGAAGGTCATTTCCAGTCTATGATAATTGCTAAGAGACTAAGTCAATTTACACAAACACAACAATTCATTAACCCATACCATTGTCATAAATTTTTGTTAGGTGAATACTTCTATACTAATCGTAAGATAATTGTCTTAGTTGGATGTATTTTTGTTAAGGGTCAACTATAACTACGTGTTGATTGTTATATTTTATTCATTATATAAATTACGAATTGTTGCATTAACCGAAAAATTTTCATCGTCAATGATAATGCGATTTTATATTGGTTAATCTGGTTAACCAATTAACCAAACCGATTAAACTTTAGTTTGGTTAATTTGGTTGTTGTATTAGTTTGGACGGTTTGGTTATGATATTATATTCCATGGTTAATGGAATTTAACCTTATTTGGTTTGGTTATAACCATGGTAACCATTTGAACACCCCTATTCATATGTATGTAGTGTAGTTCTTTCTAATAGCCATTCAAATTAGGGCTGAAAATTGGGCCGACCCGCTCCTGACCTTGTCTGACCCGTTCTTGAAGGGTCAAGATGTATAACTGACCCGCCCCGACCCTGTTTCTTTCATGACCCTGTCTGACCCTTTAGGGTCGGGGCGGGTCAGGAAGGATCGGGTCAGTGGATCGACCCTAATAAATATACTACTTTTATAAAAATTACAATTTGGTACCCGAGTTTATTTTTTCTTACATTTTAGTACCTAAATTTTATTTTTTTACAAATAAGTCCCTAAAATTTGATGGTAAAATTATATTTTGGTACCCAAAATTTTTAATTTTTACAATTTAGCACCTAAACTTATAAAATTTACAAATAGGTCCAACATGTTTGTATGATGCTAAGGGTCATAGGGTCAAAAAGTGACCCGACCCTAAATTGACCAGACCCTATCTGACCCTGACCCGACCCTAAGCCGACCCGACCCTAAATTGACCCTATAGACAAACTGACCCAGCCCGACCCTAAGAGTCGGGGCGGGTCAATGGGTTTTAAGGGTCAAACTTACACCCCTAATTCAAATCAGTATTTGATTCTGAATAGCATCTCGAGGGCGGCCCTATAGGCTAGCATGCCTTGTGGTCGATGCTTGTGATTGTATTTCTCTGGAATTCAATTCACGTTTCAGTGTCACTTAAGGAAGAGAGAAATTGTGAGAGCGGGGCTATCACTTTTTGGCTCTTTTATTCTTGGTCAACTAAGTATTAGTTTATACTGTAACTAAATGCCCTATGATTGGTTTTTGAACATTCATTCTCTGTTTTTTAAGACAATTGTTGCATTTTACATTAAGAGTTGCTGCCCTTTATTGTTCCGCTTCTACCCTCACAAACACTCGGCCCGCATTTTCTCCATCTATCTACACAATAAATAAAAGCCAAATGAGAAAACTAGAAGCCTCATTTTAAATTTCCTGCATCCAGAGTGAAAGTAGGAAGGACATTTTGGTCTTCACAATTACTTTTTTTTATTCATTAAAAAGACACTTATTAGGATTCGAACCATGACCACTTAAAGAAAAGCAAAGGTCATTACCAATTACACTAAGTACATTTATTGTATATTTTTAAATTAAAAACATATAATCGCAGAGAGGAAAAAACCATTTTCCCATTTCAAATTTCCTGCTCCAGGAGCGTTTGTAGGAATGATAGAATGGGGGGTGTCAATTTTTTTCTTTTTTCCTCTGTGGAACGGGCCAACTTATCGTACACGTGCAGATTTAAACGGGTCCAGGAGTGTCAATTTTTTTCTTTAAGCATTTTTATTTCTCCGTGGTGGTAAAGTATATATGAAAAGGCAAAAACAATACTCCTTTTTATTGCTAAAAAGAAAAAAATTTAACAATAAACTAATGCATGGATTCTAATCATAAAATAAAAGAGTTGAATAGACCTGACCTACACGTGATTTGCCCATCAAGTAAACCAATGAACATCATGGGTTTGCCATTCTAAAACAAGCTATTTTCTCTAGCATAATATATATTATGCTATTATTTTATATCTTAGTGGCTAAAATATAATGTATTTTAAAGTTATTCAATGGTTCAACCTCGACCAACCCAATTAGTCCAATTTTTATCATTTCAACTATATATTATGTAATTATTTGATATCATAATAATTAAATTATAGTGTATATTATAGGGAATCGTTTGGTATTTTTTAGTAAAAAAACTAAACAGAAAGATCTATTTGGTTATTTTTAACATTAAAACGATCCTAAACATTTTTAGTTTCCTTTCGAAATTCTATAGTTTTATTCCCGAATCAGTGATGTGCAATTGGCGAATTGCAGTCATCTCTTTTCTTTCATTATTTTTTATTTTCAAATAGAAAGTTTAAAAGTAAAGAATAATTAGAGTTTGGCATGGGTCGGTCAAACAGGCTGAATTTCAAGTTTTGGCCCGTTTTGATGAAGTCTAATTTATAATCACATGGTTCCTTGATACCCGATAAAAATCTCAATCCAAACCAATTTGGCAGGTGAGTCCGTGTTTACCACCATTTTCTAGGGATACAGGAACGGTGGTTCCTATCCCAAATCATG